TTTTGAATTACAGGTTCTATGAGAGTCCTATGACCATAAGATTTGAATCCTTGTTCTATCGAAGACCTTTGAGTTTTATATCCCAAGAGCTTTTTAAAATTCACATTTTCAAACTTGCCACCATAAAAAAGAAAAGTGTCTTTTCTAACAGCAATAGATAAGGAACTCATACAACTCCCTCAATCCTGCAGACAGAGTTTTAAGAAAAATACCTTTACCATAAGATCAGAACTTGACTGTGAGAAGCTATAAACAGAAAGAATGATACTTGACACAAACCAGTTTTAGTTTATGATTGCTGAAAATAAATTCTTATTTTAAACTTGGTCAGAATAGAAAGCTTTTCATTATCCTTTTACTAATGTTTGTGTTTTCGGTCCAGTTATATCACTACGCTGTGCTTCTACTTCCATGAGCTGATCACTCGTGTTTTCCAGAGTGTGATGAATTTTTTAGAAGCCAGAATTTCACTTATGATCAGTAAGTGTCAATAGAAAGAACTGCTGAGATAGTATATTGAAGTTCTTTGCTTTATCTGGGCAATTGAGGCAATCACTGTACTTTCTTCTCTGACACAAACTCAAATAAAACAAAAAAAGGCACCGAGACATAAATTACTGGAATTCTCTTTCTTCCAGAGAGTAAAAGAAGCCTATGTTCAGAGCTTCTTTATTAAGAAGTAGGTGTTTGCCCATGGACAACTGACATTTGTGAGATAGAAGCAGAAGTTTTTTACGCATCAAAAGTCTTAAAAGATCAAACTGTTGAGAGAAATTCTCCTTCAGCTCAGTGGGAATGGTTGCTACTTCTGGCAGTTTTATATTCTCTATCTGTCACTGACTTGAAACTCAAAGCTTCAAAGGGACATGGCATGTAGCAAAACCCTAATTTTCAGTAACTCCCAAGCTTATTACAGTCACGTTTACCTAAAGTAATCAAATCTAAAATGAATTATTTTTTATGCCATGAAATTGTTTCCTATGTATTATAGGGACATCATGAAAGATTAGCCAGCTTCCTTTATTTTGCAAGATGAGGAGTTGTGTACTTACCTAAAATGTCTTCTAAAATGTAAATTGTGCAGTGTATTGGTTGTTGTACTAGTCAAGAAGAGTTCTAGAAATCAGTGCATTTCAGGGAGAGTAGTATACAGTAGTTACTACTTCCTTAAAGGAGGCAGTGGAGGGAGGAAGACCATCAACAGGACACAAGGAAATAGAATGAAGCGGCATCCAGGGAAGTTCAGATTGGACACTAGGACATTAAGGAAAGGTTCTTCACTGAGAAGGTGGTTGGTCACTGGACCAAGCTCCCCAGGAAGGTGGTCACGGCACCAAGCCTGTCCAAGGAGCATCTGGACAATGCTCTTAGTTATATGGTGTTAAGTAGTGCTGCGAGGGGCAGGGAGCTGGACTCGAATCTTGTGGGTCCTTTCCAACTTGAGATATGCTGTGATTCTGTGCTTTATGATTAATATGTGAAAGTTCAAGAAGTCTTCCAAACCCAGGATTTTTTATTAAGATGAATGTAGTCTATAGTGGCTCATAACTTTTACTCTTTTTTTAAGTGATGTGGGCCATGAAGTGATACAAACCTACACTGAGCATTGTACTTACTGTTAGTAAAAGTACTGTTCTCTAAAGGAAAAAAAACCCCACATGAATTTAATCACCTTTGTTTCAGTCTCACAAACAGGTTCAATATGTAAGAATAATCTACATAATCAGAAAACAATCCAGGATTCAGGTTGGAAGGGACCTGTGGAGGTCATCTAGTCCAACCTCCTGCTCCAAGCAGTTCAATCATGTTGCTCAGGACTTTGTCCAGATGAACTCTGAGTCCCTCTGAAGACAGAGACCCCATAGTCTCACTGAACCACCAGTTACAGTGCCTCACTATCCTCATTTAAAAGATTGTATTTTTTTCCTTAGACCAAATTGGAATTTCCCTTATTGCAACATGTGACTGTTGCCTCCAGTCCTTTTCTGTGCATCTCTGCTGACCTCAATTCACTGTCCTTCATTGCACCAGGGCACACTGGTGACTCAGGTGCAAAATACAGAATCACAGTATCATACAGGTTGAAAAGCACCTCTTGAGATCACCTTGTCAAACACTCCTTGGTGAAGCAAGGTTAGATAGAACAGGTTGTCCAGGAACATGTCTGGTCAGGTTTTGAACATCTCCAAGGATGGAGATGCCACAACCTCTTTGGGCAACCTGTGGCCAGAGTCAGCCACCCTCACAGTAAAAAAGTGTTTCCTGATGTTCAGAAGGAATTCCATGTGTTTTGTGTCCACTGCTTCTTTCCCTGTCACTGGTCACTGCTGATAGAAGTCTGGACCCTTTGTCTTCATTCCCTCCAATCAGGTATTCATACCTGATATTTATGTACTTACGAATCGCACACTGGAGAGTTACTACTTCCCAGGTGCAGGAAGTTGCATTTGCTTTTGTTGGACTTTCATGAAACTCCAGTTGACCTACTCCTCCGCTTGTCAGCCCATATATACACATAAAAGATTTGTAAGTGTCTGTAGCATTAAGTCCATTTCTAGCAGGTCGCTTTCACAGTCTCGCTATTTGAAGAACTTCACTCAGCTAAGTTAGATCAAAGGGACTTCATGTAAAATGCAGTAAAAGTGATTTTATAGGCTTTTATGATTTAAAAGCAGACAGTAGATTTAGAAGCCAATTCAGACAGTCCACCCTGCTATATGATATAGAGTATCTGCAGGCAGAGTCTGAGGCAAAAATGGACAGAAGAAAATAGATCATATTTCTGTCCATAAACACCAATCTTCCATTCTCAGGTAATTCAAAATTGGGCTTTTGCTGGGAACAGAGGTTATTGCTGTTCTTGGCACACATTACTGCACAATGTGGAGCTTGTGTTCCTATAGAGTGGCCTTAGCTGATAAACTGTTATGTAAAATTAATTACCATGCAAGTCAGCAGAGACTGCCCCAGGGAAGCTCCTCTCTTCAGTGCTGTATCAGTAATGATCACTGACAACTACATTTTCAGGTGCTCCTAAAACATGACAGGCTTGTGTCTTTGCAAGCATTGTAGCAAAGTGAAATCCACTCACCAGAGAAAACAAGGAAAGAATGAATCTTTGCAAAATCCATGTTTACAAATGAGAATAGGAAAAACAACCATGCCAAATAGATGCTTATCAATTATAACACTGTACTAACAAATACAATACTCTAAGAATATTATCTTAGTAGTAAGATAACTATACTTGTACTACTAAGCTCTTCTTACAAAACACAAAGTTTGCCAGGTCTAATCTTAACATAGATTCATGAATTGCATTAGCGTGCTAGTTTTTTTGTGGGCTTAGGTCTTTCTATGACCTTTCCAACTCTGTCATTACTTAATAATAATGGGTTAAACTTACAGTAGTTAATTAGTATAGCAATGAGTTATGAAATATTTAATTTCATACAAAGATAGCACGACAAAACACTGCAATGGCTTCTGTCTTCTTAATAGTTTAAACTAAAAAAAGCTCTCAAAAGTAATTAAACACACTACTAAAAGATATTATTTCTTGCAAGGGATTCTTTCTTATTTGTAGAAAGGTAAATACAAGCTTAAGACCCTCCCATGCTGTTCATCACATCAAATTTGACAGCATGATTTCCATATACTGCTGTTTCCTCACACTCTGTTGCACGAACCTTATCTGGCCCAATGCAGACATTTATGGTATAGTTCACTATAGCTGAACTGATTGAAGAAACTCCTTTTCATTTGAGTCATCAGTGAAAACGCAGGGCCTTTTAAGATGTGATTCTTTCTGTTCTATTTTAGACATTGACTTTAGGATGGGATGAATCACAACCTAGAAATGCCTAGGTTTTTCTTCACTGGGATTCTCTACGATGACTAGCTTAGGGGTAGACAGCTGCACTTTAGTCATAAAGTTACGTGAGATTATTCCTACTCCTTTTCTCTATAATCATATTTAGAAGGTGAATTCTTCAGGCGCTGCCAACTTTCATGACTCCTTATCACCATCACAGTAAAAATAAGAAATGTTTCCAAGATCAAATTACTAACCTAGCATAAGAAATATCTAAAACTTTCTCTAAAAACTGGCCAACCTCCCCTATTTTTAACTTTGAATTAAAGGAAAAGGCTTTGGGAACAAAATTACTCCCATCATCTGGTCACATTTCATGGATTTTAGACTATCTGTTTTTGGCAAAGTCTCCCAGAGCTTGGATTCCAGTGCTGAGATCATGAAAGCTTCAGAATTTTATCCCAAGTCTTTCCAGCTGAATGGCCTTTTGGAGCATCAGCAGGCTTCACGACTGACAGATGGGTGGCAGCCTCTGTGATAGATGGAAACCTTTCTGCATGCAGTCCATAAGGAAAGAGAAGCACAAGCACTTCTCACCATGTATTTGAGAAACGCAAGTGACCTGTGTGTCCATCTTGGTGACAGACTGCTCTGGAGTTAAGTCAGAATTTGACCATAGACATCACATCCCCACAGTGCAAAAAAGGGTTTGGAAACAGCAGTAAGCAGACCTCACTACTGCAGTCAAATAACAGAAGTGTCTCCGAATACCTATGACTTTAACAATGACACTGTAGCTTGGGAAGTCTTGATAGCCTTAAAGTATAACACAAAGCATGGTTCTTCAGCCATGAACACACAAAGACAAAGCAGAGAAAGACTTCCATGCTATTATACCTATTTCCTCCTCCTGTTCCTATCTCGCCTTTTCTAATAAGTGAAATGACTGGTACAGGGATGGAGGTGGCACCAGCAAACGCGCCTTTCTTTATACAGGACTTAACTAATCTTACCAAGTTGCTTTAAGCTACTTCAGTTAGCTCTCCTACCTTAGCAGAAAGGATACTGTCATGTCCTTTACTTCCCCTGACCCCATGAAAGACACAATTGGCATATGACTCCTAGAGAATGATTTACAATAATCATGTATTTTCTTTCCGAACATGCATAAAGAGTTAGTTTTTACCTGAGTCTTCCATCCTCTGCTGCAGCTCCTCCTGGTATAATCTTAGTAATGAATATCCCAGGATCATCCCCAATGTGTGGGTTATCTGTTCCTCCAGCAATACTGAACCCCAGGCCAGAATTCCCCTGGAAAAATAAAAGGAAGTAAATGCATCAGCAGATGCTAGATTTCCACAGCATTTGTCTGTGGTGCACGAGCAAAGTATCATTTCTTCCTAAAGAAAGCACTTGATTTGACAAGCTCCAAACTTGAAGGCAGGTGACTCAGTCAGAAATAATTAATTGTCAGGTAAAGAACAGAGGCTGTGAACACAAAGATTTCCCAGAGTTAATGGAAGAGTTAATGGATGCTCCTACAGAAACAGGATTTGACCTAAATTTGTTTTCAAAAGCAGTCGCATAAATTAGCATCTGAACTCCAATATGAATTTATCCAAGTCAATGAGAGCTAGAGGCTAAAAACACTCCACAGCTCTGAAAAAAAGACTTTAAAACCCACTGCCATTTATGAACAGAAGCAGTGAATAAAATTTAGCTCTGAAGTATTTTAGTACACTTTCTGTTGAAAAGTGATCACTGCTCGAATTCACATGCTTTAGAAAAACCCAGCTCTGCACAAGACTATTTCTTTCATCTTACTGATTTGCTGGAATGGAAGGTTTGAAAGAGATATTATGAGAGTCTACTTAATAATCCTACTTACTGCTTCTACATTGGTGAGAATATACTGAAAGATAAATAGGCATGACATACATACATATGCTTGCAAATTGAGTCACTGTTTTCCACCTGCAATTCAACCCCACATTCAAACCCTCTTTTGGGAGTATGTATTAGCTATTACACTTTTCTGTATAAACTGACATTATCATTGCAAGGGATTCTTTCTTAGTTGTAGGAAGTTAGATGCAGGTTTAAGACCCCTTTATGCACAGGCGGGGGTCTTAAAATTCAATGCAGTAACTTCATCCTTACAGTCTCTCTCATCCCAAAGTATTTTCATAATTAGGTATTTAGGCTTATCAGAGTGATATAATGTTATTGATATCACAGAATATCAATATCACTACTGTGAATGAAATATGTTGAGGGTATTAAAAATGCTTTTATCATTTCATGAACTTCTCAGACTACTGGGAGTTTCTTTCCTTCACTGCTGCTTGTGTAAAGGTATCCAGTTCAGTCCTAGTGAGAAGAGTTACTAATAAAAATGGCACCTCAATGCCTGGTTGGTTTTTTTTTTAATATAATTACTATTTTGTAATTTCAATCAAAGCTCATTTCTGCATTTTGGAACTGTACTTCAATTAGTAGGACAGGCATGCAGTGCATTTTGTGTGTGAAAGCCTGCACGTTGGCTGCCTGCAGCATGTCAAATTCCCCATTCTGTTATCAGTATTCTACATTCACAAGCGATGCAGCTCTTATTACTCAAGAGATGCACAGGCAATCTGCAGCTCTTCTATCAGCATATAATTGTGAATACATCTTCAGTACTGAAGTAATTTATAATCCAAGGAGAAAGATTTAGGACTACACGTATCTTAATGCTTCTCAGCTAGCTATAATATGAAAAAACATTATAATACTGAAATACTCTGTGTATATATTTTCTGTAGAGTTAAAAACCATCTTCAGGCTAGCATTACAAGTCTTTGATTTAATCTCCCTTTCAAAGAATCAAAGAATCACTGGGTTAGAAGAGACCTTATAGCTCATCTAGTTCCAACCCCCTACCACAGGCAGGGACACCTCCCACTAGACCAGGTTGCTTAACGCCCTGTCCAACCTGGCCTTGAACACTGCCAGGGATGGGACATCATCATTAGAATCATCTCAGGTTCAGGTTATTTTCCCAGCATTTTAAAACATGCTTCATTATACAGTCCACTCTATACCAACATGCACTCTAAAATTACTATAGGAATATCTTCCTGTAAGGTTTTCTCTACGTCATATAATGAACCTTATCTTCCAACATGTAGGAATGAAAAAATATGTACTTGCACGCACTTCAGGAAGCCTGAACGACAGCCTTAAAACACTACTAAAACCAAGAGCGGATTTCTAGAAAGTTTGAGTAATACTTGATTTTTAAGGAAAAAAAACCAAAACACAAACCCCAACTCCACAAAAATTAAAATTTTGGGGTTTATTCCTAACTGCAAAGGGATTTAAAAAATATGCAATAACCTGCATTTCTGAATAGAGGTGGATTTCCAAACCCCTCAAACCTTCTCTTGATAGAGAAAGAGGAAGAGCAGGGTAGGGAGGAGGAATCTGGACATAACTGTTAGTTGGTTAGGGAACACAAACATAATAAAAGAGCGTGCCTGAAGAGCTTTAAAACCTACAAAACCTTGCCTGTTATGTGGGGTGTGTTTAGCTGTTCCAGTTCTTCACATAAAGTTCGTTACATTTCTTAGCACAAAATAATTTCTGAAACGGTTTCATGCTTTCCCTGCTCTCTTTTCCTCCTGCCATACTTTTTTCCATTAACTTTTTAGAGTTAGAAAACAGCAATGCTGACTGCAAGCAGTGATGTGGTAAAACGGCTACGGACTCCTCAGAAGAATCAGTGCTAGCCCTTGAACTTTTATCCATAAACATGCATCTGTTTTACAGCAGGACCATTCCCTTAGGAATAACCTTTTAAAAGAACAGGGCAGCATTCCTCACTGGCACTTCTGTATCCAGAAAATTTCAAGCCATTACTCTGGCTGCAGTCCTTGACTTGATGAACAGGATCTACAAGTTGTCAGACACTAGCTGCCTCGGCAGCGAGGTATGTCCCTGCAAGGCTTTCCCGCACCAGAACTGTGCTGAAAAAAGCTAAAAGCAGTATTTTTCACTGTGGTTCTTGAAGGGTCTTAATTTGCTACATATAAAACTATTCTACCTCTGTATTTCAGCTCCTGGCCAACAAAGCTAAAAGCACAGCTACTCATGGCCTTTTAAGAGACTTGAGTTGAAAAATAACGCAATAGGAGATTTCTGGTTAAAAGCTGCTTTATCTCAGATCTGAGCAGCAACACTGATGTACAGCTCTCTTTTCTCCCCTCATGCTTACTAGTTCACAGGTTCATCAGCATATGGTTGTTGTATTAAAACCTCATTGTAGCTGACAAGCTGTAAGTTCAAGTTCCAATCAAGCACTGTCTACTAGCATAACGCTTCCTGAACCCTTCTGCAGGGGTTAGCTCTCCACCCTTTACTTTTTGCAACTCCTTTGTCCCCATTACTGGAAAAAAAAAAAGAGGGTGTTAATTATCTTCACAGCTTTTCTTGGCGTATCTCTGTCTCCCTGTCATTTCATGTTAGCCGATGGAAATGTCTGCCTTCCCTCAGCCCAAAACAACAGCTGAACCATCACTCAGCCACCGCATTTTCCAAGGTGGAACATTCATGCTTTCTTGCATGCTGACTCTCATGGTTGGGAGTGGTTCACCATAAATATCAAGTTAATTCACTGCCCTCTTTCAATTCCAACCCCTACTTCCCTTGGAAGCAAATTAACAATGAGCTCAGAGGCCTGGTGACAATGCAGATAAATGTTTAAGAAGAACTAATAGCAGCTGATACAGAGAAGAAGAGGTGTAAAGCAACAGAAGTCTTCTTCCTTTGGGATACTCCACTGATACTTTTTAATTGCGATCCATATTTAGGCCTAAATATGCTTGCCTGCTTTGTTTCAGGATTCTTCAGTAGAAGAGATTTAGGCAAAAATCCTAACACATATGTAAGGGACAAAAAACTCTGAACAAGTCTCAGACCTCCTAACTTTAGTGGCATGGTCAAACATCATTATTCGCATGTCCAAATATATAAGGGTCCAGATATAAATACTTCTGTGTTCAATTCATGTTAGCTAAATTATCTCTTGACCTAAATCTTGCTGTCTTTCTCCAAGTTCTCACATAGATCTCATATAATTAGTTACCTGCTATACAGGGAAGATTAGTATAAAATTACTCAGCAGTAGATGCATGCTGTATTAGATGTGTTTTTTTAATGGGTAGTTCAGTTTCTTCCTAGCTTCCCCACCTTTTGTTGCAAGGCCTCAGTCATGCATGCAGCCTGACAAAAGGCTTAGCATAGTACAACATGCCTGGTTTGGCTTAAAACCAAGTTACCTCAATTTCCTTCTATTCATGCTGGATATCTCATGTTTCTTGGGGATCTACCACCAAGCTCAAATTGCTCTGTTGGCTCAGCCTTACTTTTCAAGCAGAGAAACTTAGCTCAAACTACCAAATCAGAGTAATTTCTCCCTGGCCAGCCCCAAAGTCTCCTTCCTGTTCTCCTCTGAAGGGAAGGTCAATACTTTAGGGTTACTACACCAGCCTGCCCCCTTTATGCCTTTCTCAGACTAGGCTTTGCTCCTCCACAAGAATCAGCTGAATTCTTCATAGCTCAGCCTGCGCAGGGAAGAGTCCTGGCTGTAATTCTTCCGGCCCTGGAGGGGCAGACAACCTCCAACAGAGACGCATTATTACTTTAGATGAATGGTGTTCTACCTTCTGCCAACACTGAAACACAACACTTAGGGTCAGAGTAAGATGGTGGATGATTCACATGCCAGGGAAAGAAAATAAAACTTGCAAGTTGTGGCCAGTTTGAATCTTTCCCCTCAAGACTTGTTATACTGCCAACATAAAGATCAAGAAAATAAAGCAAGAATCCCCAACAGGTAATAGTTTTGGGTAGCCAGAAGGCTATGAGAGCCATCTTTCTTATTTAGCCTTCCATCTTACATTCTTCTCCTTTCACACACTACTATAAGCAGCCATATAAGAGTTTGCATCTTCATAGGTTGCAGCATTTTTATTTTCCCAGAAGTACTCCACGCTGACTTCCATGGAAATAGAGTTAAGGCAACAGTGAGAACTTCTGGAGCTATTTTCCCATGCCTACAGCACTCTGCGGCTGATAGCCCTCCATACACTTCTACAACTGATATCCTCCTCATTGTGCCTCATTTTCTTCTTTTTCTCTGCTCAAGAGCTGCATTTTGCCTCAGAACAGATTTTGATTACGAATGATGTAAAGTCCTTCAGTCTTTACCAAAATCACGGAAGAATGTAAGTCCGAGAAGCAGGAAT